TTCAACACCACTCCAACACCACCAACACCAACATGCAGTGCCTACAGAGAAGCTCGCCACAAAAAGACGGCGACGGCGGCAGCAGCAGCATGAAACTACTCACGTCTCCGTGCAAGCTAAGGAACGGGTATTGTCCACCACCGAGCACGCCGGGAACTTCCTTCCCGAACCTCTCTCCATTGCGAGTGAAGTAGGCTGTGCCGGTGACTGGCCGGGCAGCTTTTCCAGCCGCTTCATCTACACCACCATTGTCTGCAGCTTCAGCTGCTGCTGCTGCTGTTGGTGTTACATTACAAACATCAAGAAACAAAACAATCATGAGGAGAGCGAATCGTTGTTTTGAAAGGATCGGGAGAGCTTCAAATTCGAATACTCCCGCGGGGAAGTGAACTGCTTGAAAAGAGAAGAAAGAGAAGAAGAATGCCAGACCCACCAGGACTCGAACCCGGGACCTTGCTTGTCATGAGCAATGCTTGTTATGTCCCCTTGCGGACTAACATTCCATTACACTCATGCATTCTTACTGACACACACAAACACTAGCATTTGTAAGACATTCCTCTTGGTCAGGTAAAGTAACAACAACAACCATATACTACACCGTTTGCTACTGACTGCGCATGCTCGCATATGGTTGTTGTTGTTACTTTACCTGACCAAGAGGAATGTCTTACAAATGCTAGTGTTTGTGTGTGTCAGTAAGAATGCATGAGTGTAATGGAATGTTAGTCCGCAAGGGGACATAACAATTTGGCGACGAAGATAAAAGACGAAGATGTCGCGGTCGAAGCTTGAAATATTTGAAAAAGGTGATTTTTCGTGAGTATGTAGAGAGACTCACGTTTTATTTTATCGCCAACAGTATTGGACAAGTCGCAGCTGGGGCAACCGCGGACCAGGAGAGAGCGGCGGACACGCAAAAGGCAGCTGTCCTGATCAGTCAACTCTCTGCTGAGAACTACTCGATTCTGAAGAGTCTTTGCCTGCCGGACAAACCAGCGCAGAAAACGTTTGAGGAACTCGGAGAATTGCTTTCAGAGCACTTCAAGCCTAATGTCAGTGTGTTGGCGGCGACTCATAGATTCCAGAGGATTTGTCAAAAGGATGGAGAGTCAGCAACACAGTATGCAGCTAGACTAAAGCAAGCAGCCATGGACTGTAAGTTTCAGGCGTATTTGGACAGGGCACTCCGAGACCAGTTTGTCAGTGGGTTGAAGTCGATGAGTGTTACGAAGGAGATATTGTCGAAAGCAAAGGAGACCTCAAGTTTGGCGGACATTGTGACGATGGCATCAGCCTATGAAACTGCATCGAGAGAGTCGGAACAATTGACGGCGCAGTCCGTCCACGCCGTTCGTTCGCGCCAGTCGACGAGCAAGCCAACTCCAACTTTCAAGTCGCACGACAAGAAATGTTTTCGGTGTGACAAGGCTGGTCACAAACCGGAAGAGGGCCGCTTCAAGAGTGTGAAGTGTCACGCGTGTGGTACGGTGGGTCACATCGAGAGAGCTTGCCGCAAGAAGAAGTCTGGACAAACCGTCCATCACATCGCGGAAGAAATTGGTGAGTTCGTTCCATGTGCTAGTAAACCCGATGTCACCATGTATAGTGTAAATGCAATGGGGCGACTACCGTACACTGTGTCATTAGATGTAATGGGTACCACTATCCAAATGGAGATTGATACGGGAAGTGCTGTCACGATTCTCAGCAGCGCAGATTTCTTGCAATGCAATGGTGTGCTGAGTAACCTGATGGAATCCAGTATCAACCTTGTGTCCTACTCTGGAGATGTGATTAATTGTCTCGGGGAAGCGGAAATGGAGTTCCGAATGGGCACACAATTGCACACACTATTGGTGAGGGTTACAAATGGAAACCGTCCATCTATTCTGGGCAGAGATGCAATGGCTTTGTTCAAACTCCCCTGGAAATCAATTTTCGAAGTGCACCAGGTCGAAAAGTCTGGCGCTAAATTCATTGAGAAATACCCAGGGTTGTTCGACACCTCAGAAGTGGGAAAGGTGAAAGGCGTGCAGGTGAAATTGCATGTGTCTGATGAGAGCCCTGTTTACCGAAAGGCAAGGCCGGTACCACTGTCAATTCGGGAGAGCTATGTTGAGGCTCTGAATAAATTGGAAGCAGATGGTATAATCGAGAAAGTCACGCATTCAGAATGGGCCTCCCCCACTGTCACGGTAGAGAAATCAGGAGGTGGGTTGAGAATCTGTGGTGACTACAGTGGCACTATCAATCTGCATTCTAAATGCGAGCAATACCCGCTACCCACTCTTGAGGAGCTATTGCACAAATTGGGCCCGGGGTCTAAATTCACGAAGCTGGATTTATCGCAAGCCTACCACCAGCTAGAGATAGCACCTGAATGTCGGAAGTACACCACGATCAATACCATGCAGGGGTTGTATCAGTACAAACGACTCCCTTTTGGTTTTCACAGCGCCGTATCTATTTTCCAACGGGTAATGGAAGAAACCCTTAGCGATTTGCCAGGATGCGGGGGCTACATCGACGATGTGTTGTGTACTGGTCGTGATGAGGAGATCCATGAGAAAATGTGGATCAAGTGCTATCTTGCCTAAATGAGAAAGGATTCAAGCTCAATCCTAAGAAGTTCAGCTACATGGCGGATAAGCTAACGTACCTCGGTCATCAGGTAACCGCGCAGGGAATCGCACCCTCGCCTGATCGAGTGAATGCCTTGAAAGTCGCAAAGCCGCCTAACAACGTGAATGAATTGTACTCTTTTCTGGGTGCGGCAAATTTTCAACGGAAATTTGTACCTCGGTTCGCAGAGATTGCTGCACCACTGTACAACCTGCTCAGGAAAGAAATGAAATGGCAATGGAGCAAGGCAGAGGAAGATGCATTCCAGGCCTTGAAAGATGCAATGTGTGAGCATACGCTATTAGCACACTACGAGGTCAAGAAGCCAGTCACACTCCAGGTGGACGCTTCTCCAATGGGTCTAGGTGCCGTACTATTGCAAAGGCAAAAGAATGGTGATGTTTTGCCGGTTGCTTACGTGTCAAGGAAATTGACACCGGCTGAATCGCGTTATGCACAAATCGAACGGGAAGCCGTAGCTGTGGTTTTCGGTGTTACGAAGTTCCAGAAATACTTGCTAGGGCGCCACTTCACGCTTCAAACCGACCATCAACCACTATTGAAGTTACTGGGAAACAACGAACCAGTTCCTACACTTGCATCAGCTCGCATCAAGAAATGGGCACTAATGCTAGCTGGCTATGATTATGAGATCAAGTATTTGCCAGGCAAGGAAAATGTCTACGCGGATTTCCTGTCTAGGCAACCATGTGAGAATATCAGTCCGTCTGCAGAGGAAATGGTTACGGTTCGTGTCTTGCTAGTGGAGGAAGATACGATAATCAAAGCAGACGTAGTGAAATCGGAAACAGCTCGTGACCCTGAGCTATCTAAGGTGCTCTACTATGTAGTGAATGGTTGGCCTAGCTCAGTACCCCAATCGTTTCGGTCTTACCACAATAAGAGGGATGAGCTGTCTGCGGAAGATGGTATCCTATTGTGGGGACAACGAGTTGTCATACCCAAATCACTAAGAATGGTGTTGCTACGTGATTTGCACACGGAGCACTTTGGCATGGTCAAAACCAAGCAAATGGCACGACGGTACTTATGGTGGCCAAATGTGGATCAAGAGATTGAAATGTTGGTCAAGGCATGTGCTCAATGCCAAGAAAGTGCGAAATGTCCACCTGCCAAGTCGGGAACCTGGTCATGGCCAAACGGTCCTTGGAAACGGGTGCATATCGACTTTGCAGGACCATTCATGGGCAAGATGTTCCTGGTTGTGGTGGATGCATACACAAAGTATCTGGATGTAATTGCAATGTCTAATGCCACGTCTGCAACCACTATTGCGGCTCTGCGGCACGTGTTCTCTGTGTTTGGTCTGCCGGAGCATCTTGTTTCAGATAATGGAACCCAATTCACGAGCGAGGAATTCAAGGCTTTCCTCCGTGCCAACGACATTGTGCACACCCTGACGGCTCCAGGCCATCCGGCTACGAATGGACTTGCTGAGCGCTATGTGGGTGTGTTTAAGCAGAAGTTGAAGGAAATGGGTGCAACGAGCGAACCACTGCAAGCTCGGCTCGACAGGTTTCTGCTAACGTACCGCACGACACCCAACCATGCCGGCAGAACACCTGCGGAGATGATGTTTGGACGCCAGCCACGCACGCGGCTCAGTGCTCTGCGTCCCTCGCAGGTACGTCAACAAGCAAAGGCTTATGAGGACGGCAATTGTGAAAAGCCAGCGTTCACAGAGAGTGACTCTGTGTTTGCGCTCAATTTCGGCAAAGGTAATCGTTGGGTCCCGGACGAATTGTGCGTGTCCTCAGTGACTACAACTATGAAGTACAAGTGGGTGATGTGTTGTGGAAGCGTCACCGAGATCAGTTGCGTCTACGGTCAGTTCCGGCAAGCTTGAGTGCATCGCTGCCAGAACCACTGTTGGATACAATCGATCAGACGTCACCGTCACCAGTGCTGTCAGACGTAGCAGAGTCGTCACTGGCCAGTGATTTTCCGGCTAGCGTCTCGCCACAGTCTGCTACTGTACAAGTTGAGGCGGATCCTCCTTGTGAGCAGTCTGCTCCTGAAGTTGGTTTACCACAGGTTGAGAATACTCCCTGTGAAACCACTGTTAGACGTTCGTCTCGGCGTAGTGTTCGTCCGGATAGACTGATTGAACAGTTTTGAGCCGTTCCTGATATGTCATTGCTGGACTGTTTAGCGAACTAGTAATTATTACCATGTACAATAGTGTGCAAGATCCTTGGTATTGCTAATATTGACTGACGGATTCCTGCGTCAGATTATGTTATTGTAGTGCTGTGTCAAAGTTTAAGAATTCACGTACGGTGGATTGATGAACTTATTTTATGTGTTTCTTCAACGATTTTTGAGGTATTTAATTGTGGTAGAATATTCCCTGGAACATTCTTGAAAGGGGGCAGTTGTTGTGTATGCAAGTTAGTCATTATATATCTACTACACCGTTTGCTACTGACTGCGCATGCTCGCATATGGTTGTTGTTGTTACTTTACCTGACCAAGAGGAATGTCTTACAAATGCTAGTGTTTGTGTGTGTCAGTAAGAATGCATGAGTGTAATGGAATGTTAGTCCGCAAGGGGACATAACACTCACTGAAATCAGCTCACTGAAATCAGCTCACTGAAATCAGCTCACTGAAATCAGCTCACTGAAATCAGCTCACTGAAATCAGCTCACTGAAATCAGCTCACTGAAATCAGCTCACTGAAATCAGCTCACTGAAATCAGCTCACTGAAACCAGCTCACTGAAACCAGCTCACTGAAATCAGCTCACTGAAATCAGCTCACTGAAATCAGCTCACTGAAACCAGCTCACTGAAATCAGCTCACTGAAATCAGCTCACTGAAATCAGCTCACTGAAATCAGCTCACTGAAATCAGCTCACTGAAACCAGCTCACTGAAACCAGCTCACTGAAATCAGCTCACTGAAATCAGCTCACTGAAACCAGCTCACTGAAATCAGCTCACTGAAATCAGCTCACTGAAATCAGCTCACTGAAATCAGCTCACTGAAATCAGCTCACTGAAATCAGCTCACTGAAATCAGCTGACTGAAACCAGCTCACTGAAATCAGCTCACTGAAATCAGCTCACTGAAATCAGCTCACTGAAATCAGCTCACTGAAATCAGCTCACTGAAATCAGCTCACTGAAATCAGCTCACTGAAATCAGCTGACTGAAATCAGCTGACTGACATCCAAGCTTAAATGCAAAACGGGCACCCTGAACCAGGTACTATTATTTTATAGAACTGCACTTGCGGATAAAACCAGGATTGAAATTGCACAGCTGAACGCTGTGAACCAGTTCCCTGGACACATCACTTTATTTGTACAAGTATAAGGCAAGTCACATGACTGGCATGCGTACCTAAGTCACATGACTGGCATACGTACCCAAGACACATGATTGGCATGCGTACCCAAGACACATGATTGGCATGCGTACCCAAGACACATGACTGGCATGCGTACCTAAACATGTGGGACATGATACGTGTTAGATTACTAGGACATTAGAGCCTTTGACATTGGAAAACGTTTGGCTTGCATATTCCAGATGTGGTGGAGCAATGTGTCACGTGCATGAAGTACGGCACAGTCAGATTGTCAAAAAGTATTCTTTTTAGACCAATAGTGGTATATACATGTATGACTATTGAGGATAGAAAATATTCACGATACTTTTCCCAGACGTTTCGTTGTTCTGAACAACATGGTCAGTCGCTTGTCCACCAACTCTTTTAGTCACTGTGTTGTCAGTAGAAGGGTGACTCTAGCACATTCTGGCTCACCAGTAACTTGGTTAACCCCTTGAGAGCGCTGGGCTGTTTGTCAGACGATGACTGACTGTGAATCGTTGGTCTTGCTTTCGTGGGTATGTGGATGTGCGGGTGTGCGTGTGTGTATGTGTGTGTGTATGCATGGGCGCGTGTGTGTGTGGGTGTGTTTTCTGCGTGTATTTTTGTTCCACTTGTTACTGAACAGCGGCAGTAAGATGTCCGTATTACCCATCAACTATCATCAAATACTTCCCAGTGGAGATGACATTTGCTGATGCAACTGATCACTGCCAGAAGATGAAGGCAAAGATAGCGTCTAGAACTTTCTGTGTAAAAGACTTTCTGCAAACGACAGGTAGCAATCCGGTGGCCTGGTTGTCATGGAAACTCGGGAGTCTTCAATATGCAAGTGACGAGTTGCCATACAGTGTCACATCTCTGCCTGCAATTAAGCACAAGGTCGTGTGTGAAATCGTACCGGGTAAGTAATCGGACACGTCCCGTTTCTTCAAAAGCCGAGAAACTGTAACAATGCGTGTGTGTGTGTGTGTGTGTGTGTGTGTGTGTGTATTTGTGTGTGCGTGTGTGAGTTTGTGTACGTGCTTACTTCCTCGTTTGATCATTTGTTCATTTCTTTGCATAGAGGGCCGCAGTTTTTGTCAGGAAACTAGAGCTCACATTGGTTTGTACGCCAATATGGCCTCATTGACACAGGCAAAGGACCAATGCAAGCGTCTAGGAGGACGGCTACCCGCTGGCAATCAAGAGGCAGTCTGCGTAAAGTACGCCCTGACGACAGTAAAGGCTGATTCTCCAGCTTACCGAACCAAACCGTGGGTGCAAAACCATGACGAAGATCCACTCTATCACACCGCTGAGAGCATGTATACTCTGTATGAGAGTAACAAACAGAGAAGGCAGAAGGATGAGCACAACACTGTGGCATGTGCCTTCAATCTCAGTAAGCCAATCCCGTTTTATATTGTATTGTTTGGTTTTGGTTTGGTTTGTTTTTATTATTTCAGCTCGTTGCGTCAACAGGACAAAGTCCAAATATCAAGTGGGATGAACGAAAAGAGAAAGTAAAACAGAGCAGAAATGAAGAAGCAACTGGAAGGAAAGAAAACTGAGAAGGAATGTAGACTGGGCGGATTCATGAGCCATTACTAGAGTGGGGCAAGACATGAACAGAAGGGCCAATTGCTGGGTGCGTCAATATTCATGTTTAAAAAACAGAAGCCTTATTTTATTGGTGAATCCCTGGTTCGAGTCCTGGCCTGGTGGTGACAGTCAATTCTTTCTTCAGACTTTTTCCGTTTGTGTTTTTCCCTCAAACCAGTGAACACATTATGTAGTGTGTGAACAATTATTTCAAAGGAAAAATTCAAAAATTCAAATTCCCTGCCTTTTGCAGGAGGTCACCACGGATACATTGAGTTGAGCAAAGATTGACCAGCACTATGTGAACAGGGTCACAGCTAGCAAGAAACTTCATGGTAACCCACGTGCAGGTGTTTGCAAATCGTGTGAATGGCACATTAAAAGGGAAGTTAAGCCTAAAATGAAATTTTCACCAGTTGTAGTCTTCAGGGGCGCTGAGTCGAATGGTCTAGTCCGAGGAAGCTGAGACGCTCTCTTCCTCCTTTAGTCCCAATCGAACTCGCGCAATTCCACCAAAACTGGGTGAGTGCGCTCTACTAGATGGGGATTTGTATGCAAAATGTCACTAAACCGACATTTCGTTCTTATAAAAGCAGGGATGACCACGATTGGCCCATGTGTTGTAGTCTTTTGGACTCTGGTTACGTGCTCATACGTACACCAGTCACCTGGTCATCGTGCCTGCAGGGTTTAACTTACAGCCTATTTGGGTGCATTCCTGTCACTCGAGTTGAAGTCGAGTTGAACCTTGGTGTGAAAGTTGTCGCCTGTCTACTGGCGCAGTGACCTAAGTTGAATTGACGACGATTTCGTTGTTTTTCATTCTTTTTGTCTCCGTCTTTTTCTCAGTTTTCTCCACCATGGCTGGTTAAACTCACCAGCATCACATGGTTGTTGGCACAATCTCATCATGATTGTGAAAAAATAATTATGACAAACTAAAACATAAGAAAGGGTTCGCTCCCCACACCAGAGCTCGTGCTATTCCGCCGACTTTCTTAAAAATCTTCGCCGAAGTCGCAACCACTAAACTAAAACATGTCATTTAAATAACCGACGAGGAGACAATAGACGTGTAATAGCAATGAATAGATCCAATTAAGCACTCATAACCATGTATAAGATAATAATTATTATTATTAAAATGACAAATTCCAAAACGTTTTCTCGTGGCTATCATCACTGGAATATCGTCACATGGCAAGAATCACTAATGCAACCAGTTACCAGTTATGAGTATATGCATATAGCTAGAATAGTATGAAAAGGAGCGTGAGAATACAGCAGCTCGTGGTTACGCATAACGTAGTGTGTATTTATGCAGTGGATGTGAGAATGGTAGATAAATGTTGCAGCTGTGGGCGCGTGTGGACAAAAGTGGTGAGTGCGTATTATTTGAGGAGTGTGAGTGCTACAACATTTTCGCACCAAACCAGGAAATAATACACCCACCATTTTGTTCACGCCTGCTCACAGCTGCGACATTCATCTACTGCTATTGTCAGATCTCTTATAACCGCACACATCCGTTTTCCACAAAAAATATCCAGATAGGCGAGGTAACCGGATAATCGACCACACATACTGTATGTATGCATGGCATATGCTGTAAATCAGTAACCAACGATTTTTTTTCCGGATGGCGAGGGATCCAGATTAATGTGGAACGGAAAAGCGAGGTCTGACTGTACCATTCTCAGATCCACAGCATAAGTTCACACTACCCGTGTTATGCATAACCGTGAGCTGATGCATTCTCACGCTCCTTATCATATTCTAGCTATATACTAGTAACTGGCTGTTTTAGTGATTCTTACCATGTGACGATATTCCACTGATGATGGTCACGAGAAGACGTTCTGGAATTTTTTTCATTTTTATGATTGTTTTATACATGTACATGGTTATGAGTGCACAATTTGTTTTATTCATTGCTATTTTACGACTATTGTCTCCTCGTCGGTTATTTAAAATGAAAAATTCCAGAAGGCTTTCTTGGACGGGATGCGCACTCTCCACAATCCTCCCATATTTATGTACAAACTAATTTCAGATGTTTTTGAAGTGGTCTTATTAAGGGTTGGGAGATTGGAAATAGGAATTTTTAGTCCTCAAAATACTATGAATGACAGGGGGCAAAAGACCAGGCTAGACGAGCTGAACAGCAGCTATGGAATTTACAGGTACTATAGGTATAGCATTTGTCACAGCATTGTCTTTCTCCACACTGTCTAAGGTATGACTGGCATGTGCCGAAATAGCCGGAAACAGAATAGCGTCCAAAATGTGTGATCTTACAGTTCTGCGCAATATTACAGGCGTAGGGCCCATAGAGTTGAAGCATTGTTGCAAGCTCGCCTCCTCATATACACGTATCTACTTTTTTTAAATTCTCTATTCTCACAATGGCACCATCGCCAATAAGAGATTTTTTTGCATTGTATTATATTTAAGGATTTCCCAAAGGCTTTTGGCCTGTCGAGGGGATCTCCTGCAAGAAGAATGAAATGACAACTTTATGCAGAGGGAGCAGTTAATCGAGGATAGGCTAAGGAAATAGATCGAGGCATACAACACCTGGTAATTAAGGAGTTGGGATACCGTCAGTGTAAAGAATATATCGGCGAAAATGCTGATAGAGAGAATGCTTGAATTCGGGGAGGCTGGTTATAGAGGTGAGAGAAGGCGGTAGGCAATTCCATAGCACTGCAGCTTTGTTGGAAAAGAGGGAAGAAAAACACACACCGTGATAATTGATGTTAAGTTTGCTTGGTCTTCTTGGACTTGAAGACAGTGAAAGGTGAAAATGTTGGAGGTGTTCTGGAGATGTTATGTATAAGTTTAAATAGAGTAACAAGAGCTGATACTTGTCTGCGAAAGTGCAAGGACTCTAAGTCACAAAGGGCATTTCACTGGGATTTCGTTTCGCGTCTATCTACATTGACTTTTTTACATAGCAAATACTTCCTAGCTACTCTGGCTTGTAAAATATTTAAACGCTCCAGCTCAGCTTTGGTAATGGCATAGGACCAGGCCGAGGTGGCGTGTTCCAGGACGGGTCTGACAAAACCTTTATATAGAAGTAGAAAGGCTGTGGGGGAAAGACTCCGTCCCATGAAGCATAGCAGATTAACACGACGTTGGAAGGTTTTCAGGATAGTGTGAAGGTGGATGGTGTTGGACTGGTCGGGTGTTAAATACACTCCAAGATGCTTCGCAGCTTCAGCGATGGTGATAGCTTGGGAAGAGAGCTGGATAGGGTGGTCGTTACTGTAGTTACGGATCTGAGTCGTTTTGGCTGGTGAGAACTCTCCACCGACATTGTTGGCCCATAGTTGGCAGGCAGAAAGGTCGCTCTCTAGACGAGATTGGTTCCACTGCAGGGAATTCTTGTTATCATGTACATACAGGAGAGTGACATCGTCAGCAAATAAGTATGGGGTGCAGTAGGTGATTGATGAGGGCAGGGAATTAGCAAATAATAAGAAGAGGGTTAGAGCAAGATGCGATCCCTGCGGGACTCCACAGGTGAGGACCTTGGCCTCCGAATATTGTCCTTCCAACCTCACAGACAGCTTCCGCTCAGATAAGAAGCTTCGGAGCCAGTCGACTGCTGGCCTATCAGCAATTCCTTCAAATGCATTTAGCAATGCTTGTGCAGTGATCCACACGATCAAAAGCTTTCTTAAAGTCGAGGAAAACACAGTCGAACTTCAGCTTCTTGTCATTGCACTCAGCCATTTGATGTGTCAGCAAGAGCAATGATAATATTTGTATTGTATTGTATTTTATTATTTTACTTGGGCATTCCCAACAGACCCTAAGGTCTTCTTACAGGGTGCCCAAGATGAATGAATTTGTTAAGTTCCCGTCGAAATGAGTAGGGGATATGATTTGTGCGAAGGGATTCGGGAAGCGCATTAAAGCGATCAGCACCAAGGAATGAAATAGATTTGTATCCAGCTTGAGTTTGCACAATGGGTAAGGAAAGGGAAGAATTCACTGGGCCGCACGTGACCCTATCTGTGTGAGCGCAGTCACGGCGAAGGGAGAACATGTCAGAGAGGAGTGAACTGCAGATATTGTGGATGCAACGGAACACGAAGAATATGGACTTAGTATGATATCTTTTGTCTAAGCTAATTATGTGGTACCGCTCAAGCAAGTATGATGTCCGCGTGAATGTGTCATGCTCAAATATGCATCTAAGTGCTCTCTTACTTATGCATAGCAGCTGATCTCTCACGTTGTCAGCGAGGCAGTGGACGCAGGCAGTGCTGGCGTACTCGAGCTTGCTCTGGACTACTGACAAGTAGAACTGCCTTCTGGCCTGCACAGCAAGGTTCTTCCTTCCACCTAGTTTCTTTCCGATGTCTTCCCTGAGGGAGTTAACGTGGGCACTGAAACTTAAAGTTGAATCGAAAGTCAGTCCTAGATACTTAAAGGGGAAGTATACCCTAAAATCAAATTTTCACCAGTTGTAGTCTTCGGGGTGCTGAGTCGAATGGTCTTGGTCCGAGGAAGCTGAGACGCTCCCTTCCTACTTGAATCCCAATCGAACTCGCGCACTTCCACCGAAACTGGGTGACTGCGCCCTACTAGATGGGGATTTGTATGCAAAATGTCACTAAAAGCGCCATTTCGTTCTTATAAAAGCACGGATGACCGCGATTGGCCCATATGTTGTAGTCTTTTGGACGCTGAGTCGACTGGTTTTGGTCCGAAAAGGCTGCGATGCAGCGTTCCTCCTTTATTCCCAATCGAACATGGTTGAACAAGCGGTCACGTGCTCCTGCGTACGCCAGTCACCTGGTCACCGTGCCTGCAGGGTACAACTTACTAGCCTGTTTGACCTTTTTTGGGTGCAGTCCTGTCACTCGAGTTGAACTCGAGTTGAACCTTGGTGTGAAAGTTCTCGCCTGCTGGCGCGGTGACCAGGTGATTTGGGCACCCAGGAGCACGTGACCGCTTGTTCAACCATGTTCGATTGGGAATAAAGGAGGAACGCTGCATCGCAGCCTTTTCGGACCAAAACCAGTCGACTCAGCGTCCAAAAGACTACAACATATGGGCCAATCGCGGTCATCCGTGCTTTTATAAGAACGAAATGGCGCTTTTAGTGACATTTTGCATACAAATCCCCATCTAGTAGGGCGCAGTCACCCAGTTTCGGTGGAAGTGCGCGAGTTCGATTGGGATTCAAGTAGGAAGGGAGCGTCGCAGCTTCCTCGGACCAAGACCATTCGACTCAGCACCCAGAAGACTACAACTGGTGAAAATTTGATTTTAGGGTATACTTCCCCTTTAACTTCGTCAGACGGAGCAATAACAGTCGAACCACAGACAGTGCTCAGGTTAGGTGGAGGATGTGAGCGTCTGCTGTGGATCAGTAGTACTTGGCTCTTGCTGGAGTTCAGGAGCAGGCCGCGATCTGTGAGGTGCTGCTTCACCACTGAAAAAATCTTCTTCTTAGTAAGGCATGAGAATTCGTGGACACTTTCCAGAGGCATACAGGGTGGTTTCGTCTGCATAAAGAAGGCATTGGGAACGCAATGGCAGAGTGGGGACAAGTCGAGTGTAGATGAGGAAGAGGGTAGGGCCTAGGACGGAACCCTGGGAACGCCCCTAGTGCAGGTTCTACAGTCACTTGTGGTTCCGTTCACTTCTATGCGTTGCTGTCGGTGAGACAGATACGACTTGAACCACTCAAGAGCATTTCCACGGATCTTCAGACTGTGAAGGTCATCTATTGGCGTTTGGTGGTGGACGCGGTCAAAGGCTTTGCTCATATCAAGCAGCAGTACGGTCGTATAGTCTCCGGTATCCATGCTTCTCCGCCAGTTATTGATGGCAAGTGTTAAAAGGTCCTCAGTACTGTGGTTCCGCCTGTATGCAAACTGTTCATTTTGAATTGCTCCGTGTGTGATGTCCCGGTGGTCGTGAAGCTGCTGGAGCACTAGCGATTCCAAGACTTTGGAGATAATGGGCAGTAGCGAGACTGGGCGATAGTTGGAACTGTCGTAGGGGTCGCCTTTCTTAAATACTGGACACACAGACGCTAGTTTGTAGGCTGACGGTACCTTTCCGCTAGGCAATGACTGGTTGAAGATGGAAGTTAAGGAATTGGCCAGCTTGGCGGCATGGTGTTTCAAAATGTAAGCTGGTATGCCGTCTGATCCAGATGCTTTCGTGGTATTCAATCGTTCGAGAATCTTCCTTATTGCTGCTGTTGTAACTGGTTGGAACTCGAGAAGGCAATTGTCTAAACAGTCAACCGCCGGAGTGTCTGGGGTCGTAAGAGCAGCGCGGTGTTCATCGTGGACGATATTGCCTAGGGTGTCTGACAAAGATGAGAGGGAGGCTTTCGGTGTGGGGTGGGAATTTCTCCTTCAAGAGGAGATTATGATAAAGTGAGATGCTGTGACTAGACTGAAAGTGTGAGTGGGGCTGTGTGTTATGCAGTTGGAAAGTAATTGAGGTCTCTTTGAATATTACAAGTATGGGAGAGGGTGACCGCTGCAGGCGCAGATTGAGTTAATCAGCAGTGATTAGATTTCTTGTTTGAAAGCAGGTCGAAAGGGAACATCACGAGTGCTAACAGGGAGGGCATTTTGTATTCTAGGGACTTGTACAGGGTGGGTCTTTGCAGTGGTCGGTTCTGGTGTGTGTGGGAGGTGCCATGTGCAGGTGAGTCGAAGGCTATAGTGGGGCTTAACTTGAGTGGGGTATTGAGCATGCGTACATCTACGTGTTGTGGGCATATTGGTATTTTATGGAGTGTGCAAACTACCTATTTGCTTGCGTGTTTGATTGTTTGTTTGCCAGTTTGTTTGTTTACTCCTGCCTGCCTACTTCCTGCCAGCTAACCCTCCCAAATGTGTGCATGTGTGTCTGTTTGCCAGGGGAATACTTCTGCGAACGGTCCTCTGGTGCATATGGAGCATCTATGGTTCACTATCCGGACACATCACTGGACAACATCTACAAAATCCAAACTTCCTGCTTAGCAAAAGGAGGTCGAGCTGCAACCAACGATGAAAGTCACTGCATTGCGGAGTTTAGGGAAATAATTTACAAAGAGACAGGTCACTGGGAAGAAAATCTGGTGAACCAGGTGTGCGTTTTCGGTCCGTGTGAGTTGATCTGTCAATAAATCCTTCTTGCACTGTTTTGTTTTTGTATTGATGGATCCTACACGTGCTTTTGCCAAAATGATAGGTTTCTTTGTCTCTTGGGAACTGGTCGTTTATATATTCTTTAATTGCAACATCTCAACTTCATGGCGCAGTGGAAACACTGGCCAATATGAAAAGAGTGGGTGTTAGCCAACCAAAGCTGATTGTTTGAATTTTGAATTCTTTATTCTCACGATGGCACCATCGCGAATAAGAGATATATTGATGAGAAGGTGAGATTGTGGGTTAAGCAGTTGGAAAGTGATTTACATCACTTTGAACTTTACAAGTATGGGAGAGGGTTGTTGTTGTTGTTGTTGTTGTTGTTGTTGTTGTTGTTGTTTTTGATATTGCGTTTATTTTTATTCGGTATTCAAACTGGCAAGTATGCCTAATTACAGGAATGCGAATACTTGAGAGAGATAAGGAAGAATAGAAAAAGAGCAATCGACCTTATGCCATTTGTAAAGATCCACGAAATCACTTAGAATCCCGTAGACTCGGTAGGGTGTTCATTGTGTGCTATGCATGCGCGTTTGACCTTTTTAGCGTCGTAATTCAATGACCAGCAATCGCTTTTCCAGCTTCTTCACTTTGGTTAGAACTAATGACTAGCTTGTTCTTTGTCAGAAAAAGGTTTTCGTATGAAATGCTTTCAGGTCCCATTTCTTAGTGGAAATAGCAGAAAACACAATAGGGTCCTGCACATTCAACACCCTACCGGGTCAACGGGATTCTACGGAATTTCGTGGATCTCTACAAATGACATAAGGTCCATAGGGCTACATCGTAGAGAGAGCAGGTTTTTGAGGAACATCAAAATGAGTACTTGTGATCATGAGTAAAGGGTATGGCTGCCAGTTTGATCTGGGTTAGGCAGTGGGTACCACGAACAGCTGCAGGCAGCGAGTTCCACTCAGTTGTGGCAGCGGAACCAAACTGGGTTGTTCCAGATCGGGTCCTAGCTTTCGGCAGCTGAAGGCCATCTTCAGTCTGCATGCGAGTTCTGCTTCCCGTTGGGGGGGGGGGGGGCTAGTGCCACCGTGGTGGACCTGCCTTGTCATGAGTGCACCTCCATACTAACGTAACAGCTTTCTGGCGGTGTGTCTCACTAATCCGGAACAGGCCCATTTGCACTAGGGGCGGGTGAGCGGACGTGCACTGCCCGGGCAGCACGGTTCTGGAGATTCCGCATTGTCCCCGTAACTATGGAAAAGACGTCAAATCAAAGATAGCTGGCCACCTTACTCAAATAGGGCTTTCAACTGCAAGATCGTGACGTGAAGCAACTTTGAAGAATGTGTATGTATGCGAAGTGTATCGGGGGAATGCATGCAGGGCTATAGTGCAGGTTCGAATCCCATGTTAGGCAGAGCCAAGGAACATACTTCATGATCGTCCTTTTTTCAGAAGAAAAATGGGAGGGTAGGCAGACTTTTATTTTCTCATTGTAAATGACTCTTGCCATCTTATTCGAATAGAGGTTTCAACAACAATATCATAAAGTGAAGCAACTTTGAAGAATGTGTATGTGTGCGAAGAGTATCGGGGGAAAGCATGCAGGGCGATAGTGCGAGTTCCAATCCCATGGTAGGTTAAGTCAGGGAATACATGTACTTCATGATCGTCCTGTTTTTCAGTAACAAATGGGGAGACTCACTCACTGCCGGGAGAGTGAGCGGATTTTTCATCATTGTATTGCAAAACCGTTTCCATCCATTCGAATAACATGCATGATGACCTAGCCAAAAAAGCATATCGCTGGCCCTGAGCTTTCAAGCTCTCTCTTTAGGGGATGTGAGGGAAATAAAATGTAGCAATGTTATTTCTTTTCAGCTTCGAGTAAATTTGAATAGTTGTGATTATAACCGCAATCAATGAAACGAGCTGAACCGACATTTGTGTACTTTATTCATGCAATGTAAAGCGGTGTCGGATGTCGGTTCAGCTCGTTTTATTGATTGCGGTTATCGAATTATTGTCTCCTTGCCGTTTGTTTAAGTTGTGATTATGGCTCGACTAAAATGGTAAACAAGGCATTATTTTGTAGGCGTCTAAAAAAGCGTAAATCGTGGTGAATAATGCAGTATGTGCGGAGAAAACGAGCATTCTAATAGATTTGAGCGGCATTTGGAGTCTCACAGTGGAAAATATCGGGAAATGCCGGCGTTGTGGCAACAACCGGCTACACTCATGAGGTAGGGCCAACCATCCTGGGGTCTGAAATGTGTGAAGCTGGACACTAGTTTGAATGTCATCCTTTGTACTGGATTGTGGATGACTTCGTGTAGGCACGTAACACTTTTAAGCACTTTTAAATGTAGCAATGTACTCAGGTTGCACAAATAACGAAACAAAGATTTGCAAGGAGGGCCATGTTTTACAGAAAACATAGAGGGCAATGGAGGGGACGCGAAGTGAACATCGAACAACTGATAAGTGGTTTCTTGCCGTTCCTCAGGCTCCGATGATAGCGTTTCTAGGCTAGGGGCGATACTGATACCCGTGCCGATGTAGAAGCAGATCGTTTGCTGGAGGAATAGCTACAAGCATAAAGCGATAAATGTAGTTCTAACGAACTGCCTGTGCCGATTCCAGCCGAGCTGGCTTATAAAAGATTGGAATTACTCATGGATTCAGCACAAAATCAATATGAGCAGTCTGCAGCAGCGCGTGCCTGAGCCGTTCCTGCTGAAACATGTAAAGTTAGGTGTGGACAGCTGTACACTAAATACAGCAGTCAAGTGGCATCAACAGAGAGGAGTAGTCTTGTGACAAACCATTTTGTTTACGGAACACCACAAGGAGAAGAAGACCGTCCAAGGAAAGGAATATTAGTGCAGTAACATAATCTGGCCATATATATTTTTGGCTTTCTGCAAATAAAAGGGATCTTAATATCGAGGTCGACTTGGAGGAACTGGCCTAATGTCTCCTGATTCGGATGAAGAGATTATTCACAGAGTCAACGCAGTGACAGGTTGTCTGCTGGCAGGACTACCACTTGCCACAAAACACTTCATTCCAATGAACGCTAACATGGTTTACACCTCTCACTCCCTGGATAATGTCGGGAAAGGATTTGATACACCCACTATTCATCCATAGCCCATCATCAAAATTGCAGGGGTGAGCAGCCTCCGGAGAATCGATTATATCTTTTAGGTGATGGATACTGCCCGCCAGAGTCTGCTGCCCGGTTCCACCGGGCCACAGTCTCCTTTGAGAGCCGGCTCTGCAACAAGCTCACGTCTGGGTCACTTACGGACAAAAGGTGGTGGACTACGGTGAAGCAAGCTGCTGGTCTGAACCGTGCAAGTGAGGTCCAGTTACTTGTGGACCAAAGTAAGAGGGAGTTCCACTCCAGCGATGACAAAGCCAACTGCTTAGCAAGATACTTTGCCACGAAGTGTAGTCTGGGAGATGGTGACATATCTCCAGACTCACTCCCTCCCAGTGCTCAACCTTTACACGGCAGCCTAGAACGTATCCATTTTCGAATGTCTGATGTCCAGCGACGGCTAGCCAGGCTCAACCCTTGCAAAGCCACTGGCCCTGATGGCCTTCCAACTCGGGTCCTGAAGGAATGCTCTCGTGAGCTGGCCCCAGCAGTCACCAAGCTCTTCGAACTGTCCTTCCGATGTGGAATCCCGCCATGTAGCTGGAAGTTGGCGCATGTCGTGCCAGTGTTAAAAAAAGAACTCCAAATCTCATCCGGCCAACTACCGCCCAGTGTCTCTGCTCTTGATCCTCTCCAAGGTAATGGAAGGCATCGTCAACTCGCAGGTGGTGAACCATCTTGAGCGGAACCGACTGCTTCCTGACAGCCAGTATGGATTCCGTAGAGGCAGGGGAACTGCTGATGTCCTGACAGCCCTGCAGAACGAATGGGTCCAGGTTGTTGCAAACGGTGGATCTGCTCAAGTGATAGCTGTGGATATAGCTGGTGCGTTCGATCGTGTGTCGCACACCGGTCTCCTGTACAAGGCAGAACGGGCTGGCATCAGGGGTACACTACTGACTTGGCTTCAGGACTACCTACATAGCGGCCAACTGAAAGTTGTGGTCAGCAGTCAAGCTTCATCTGCTCAGTATCACCGCGGGAGTACCTCAGGGAAGTATCCTCGGGCCGACTTTATTTCTTATCTACGTCAGCGACATCGACCAATGTCTTACCCCCGGAAGGCGCCTTAGGTCCTTTGCTGATGACACCACGCTATACAGCCTGTTACAACCAGAAACTGCTGCTCCCCACAATGCCTCCTTACAAGATGCCCTACATGGCCTTCAAGAGTGGGGTGAGCGGTGGCGGGTGACATTTGAGCCTTCCAAGTCACAGCAGCTACTATGCACACGATCCTTGGATCGAGCCACTCCAGGCATCTCATTTGGTGGTGCCGACATTGCCCAGGCATCAACACTGAAGCTGTTGGGTATATTGTTCGACTCAAAGCTTTCATTTCGCCCGCATATCAGCAGCATGGCGGTGCGAGCAAGTCAACGTCTTGGGCTTTTGCGCCGAGCCGCGCGGATACATGACACCAATGGCCGTCTGAGTGTCTACCAAGGATTCATTTGCCCTATGCTGGAGTATGCTCCACTGGTCTGGATGTCTGCTGCCCCGACCCATCTGGCCAGGCTCGACCGCATTCAGCGGAAGGCAGTGGCCATCATAGGACCAGATGTGCTCCTCCAGAGTCTGGCTGCACGACGCACTCTCTCTCTGGGCTGTGCTACATGTACAAGCTTCAGTGCATCGGAAGCCCACGACAGCTGACCAACATTGTCCCACCAGCTGCACCCACTAGGGTTCGTCCCAGAACCCGACACGCACATGCGGTGACCGATCCTCACCAGCTCCTCAATACCCTACCACCACCGGAGTACATCATGCGGTCCTTCCCGTTTTCCCACATCGGTTTGTGGAATCAACTGCCACCCTCCCTGTTCCAGCCATCAATATCCCTGCAACGGCTGCACCGCATCAAGGCAGCTGCATGGAAGCACTTGCTGCACACTGACTGACTGTGGGCTACAGACCACCTCTGAAAGCCACTGCTGCACACACCTGCGACAAAGTTGCTAGCCACTCTGGTCTAGATTCACCTTGCTGTATCACTCAAGAGCTACCCACGCATCTCTTTATTATTATTATTTCATATGTTCGAGTCCTGGTGGTGACAGTCAATTTTTTCTTCAGACTTTTCCCATTTGTCTCTTTCCCTCAAACCAGTTAATATTTTATGACTTGGGGCTCC